GGGAGGGCCCAGAGAAATCGAAAGGGCTTCTAGTACTGCCTCAGGACAAGATCTGCCTCTGCAAAATGAGATCGTGAACGTGTCGCATTTGCAGCATCAATGTCTTGCTGAAAAATCTCCATGCAGTTGGTGATGCCTCTGTGTTTGGGTTGGACCGGAGTTGTTGGAAAGATCATTGGCAAAGAGGGAACTTCCTAGAGGTCCCATTGTCTTTTGACTGCTTCTGCCCATCACTTCTGACCCTTCTTGGGGTGTCCTGGTTTCCGTCATTTAGGCTTCAGAGGAGCAGGATGGTCCATGAGGCTTTGGAGCTGTCAGACCTGGTGCTGGCTGACTAGTGGGGACCTGAGCCCATGTTGGAACTGTTTGCTTGCTGTGGTGCCACCAAGCCCTGCGGCCCTTGTAGCTGGCACAAAGGGGTTATATCTGGGCTCTGCCTGGAGCTGTTGGAGCACCAAGCATTGTAGAAACAAGAAGAGCCTTTCCCAGAAGTGTGGCTCTTGTCTCAAGGACCTCATCTCAAAGCCTCTAGTCTGGCATTGCCTTGCCCACATACCTGGCTCAGTGTTGTCCTCCCCATGATCAGAGACATCTCCTCGATCCTCTACAAACACATGTGACTGTCCCTGGTCTGCTCTTCCTTTGGGTCACATCTGCCTGAAGCGTTCCCCATGCCTCGTGCTCTCCTTCCCCTGCCCCAGTAAATCTGCCAGCTGGAATCTGCTTTCCCAGTTTGTTTCTCCAGGTGCTCCTGTCTAAGAGAAGGAGTGAACATGTCAGCTTGCTGAAGCCCAGGGGGTGTAAAAGCGCCGATGGGTGCCCTTGGGAGGAGTGAGTGGTCTCGGGGCACTCCACTCCCTTTCCGTGGCCGTGGGGAGAGTGCGCGCAGTTCCCCATTTGCCACAGGGCAGTGGGACACAGAGCGGACTTGGTGAGGAACGGGGGCTGTTCCACCAGGGATGGAGGAGGAAGGCCAGGGTGGCCTGTGAGCTGTGCCAAAAAGGTCCCCCCTTGGTGGGACAGCACTGGCCACGCTCCTGCCTGAGACGAAACCCGCGGTGTGAAGTGCTGAGCTCCCCTCCCCGTGCGTGTGCCAGCGCCGTGGCGTGCGTGGGAATGTCTGACGCTTCCGTGGTTGCCATCCAAATGGACCAAATGGAACCGCTGCATCCTGGAGCGTGTGGGGCCAAAGGCCCCTCTCTGCCGCCCTGCCTGACCAGGCGTCACCTCAGCCACGCCGGCTGATGTGCTTGACCTTGGCAACGTGACAGAGGAACCACCCTGCACGTCCTCCGCGCCGGGCCGGACCGTGCTGCAGGGCTGGGCAGCCCCAGTGCAGTGCAGGCAGCGAGACCCGTGGAGAGCCTGTGGCGGGGGGGGGGGGGGGGGGGGGGGGCGGGGGTAGCTCACCCTCCTTCTTCAGCCAGCTCTTAAGAGCTTCTCTGTGACCACCTCATCATGATTAATGGGTGCAGTGAAGGAGCTGAGGTGGCCTAGCAGATGCTTTGCCTGCGTCAGGAGTGGGAGCAGTCGCTGTGCTCCAGCGCTGCTTTGGGGAGCTCCCTTTATTTCAAGAGTTGCCTCCATTTTAATTGCAGTGGTCTGGAGCCAGGGTGGGGAGGGTCTCGGGGAGCAGGGGCTAGTGGGGGAGACCTTGCTTCACCCGGTATGGGTTTGTCCCCCTCTAGCGGTTAGGTCACCGGTGGCTTTGGGACCACGGCTGCTCCCAAACTTGCCTGGCGGGATGTTTGTCAAGGAAGGTTTGTGCATCCAGGTCGGGAGGGTCCGGGTGCGGTCCCTGCAGCCCCTGCGTTTCGAGGGGCTCACCCCCCTTGCCTTGATTTAAAAGCCCTTTCTCCCCGCTCGCGCCAGCGGTGTCTCCTAGATCCAGGTGGGTTCAGCTTCCAGCAGGAACCCCCAAAAAAAACCACCTCGGAGAAGACAAAAGAAAGGCATCAGGGAGGCTGGGCGTGAGCGGAGCTGGAGCCCAGCCGGGGTAAGGGCTCTCCACCGTGCTCTCCCCAGCCTGCCCCGGCCCTGGGGAGCCTGGCCCCGGCGTCTCCGATTGCAGTGGCGGAGGGAGGGAGGAAGGTGGGCCGCGCCG